ATTCGAGAAGTCGAGGTTCGAGTCCTGGCGATGGTATTGCACATTTTGCTAAAAGTATATTTATGGGTACCCCTTGGCGAAACTTACCGATTTTTGGCGGTATATGGATACCAAGTTTGTGCAATTCTTTAACTTGTTTATTTATGTTGCGTAGCGGCGATTTTTGCACTATACAAGGCCAAAATAACAAGACAAAGAATTGCACAAATTCGATATCCATGTACACTTGACTTTATCCATGTACACATTGACATATTTTCACTTAAACAAACATCATAGAATTGCACAAACTAAGCTTTGCGCACTCCTTTGACTTTGTCCATGTACACATCGAACTATATTCACTTAAAAAGTCAAAGGAGCAGCCAGCAAAAAAATATAGGTTAATCTTTGGAATACGGTAACAGGTAGTTTGGTGACATTTTGGTAAGGCGATAAAGGTTACTAGCCAGGACTTTAGCAATAATCTGCTAAGTACACAGTTCGAATCACAGATTATTTTGTCTCAGAGAAATGAAAGATCATGAGACATGTAATGTGACATTTTCCGGAAAATTCCGATCGTGATTTTAGCTAATAAGCACTTAGAAACAATTTCGCTGCTAAAGTGCAGAATTGCCCACTTATTTGTTTGGTGCTTTTTACAAGCGTAAGAAGAACTGGAATTTTGTCAATTTTCTTTGACTTTTTAAGTGAAAATAGGTCAATGTGTACATGGATAAAGTCAAGAGTGTGCGCAATGCCATTTTTGTGCAATTCTGGGTTTTTTTTAAGTGAAAATAAGTCGACGTGTACATGGATACCGTGTATGTGCAATTCTTAAAAACGCGGCAAGCAGTGGGCGATTCTGCACTTTCTCTCAATTTCGCACCTAATCTTCATCATGATTAAGCACTTTTGTTTCATAAAAGATCTAGTATAAGCGCAATTTGGCTAGCAGATTGTTGGAAAAAATGTTGAGGGAGGAAAAAACATGCCTTAACTTCGTGAAAACAAAATGGCATCCAAAAAAAAAAAAACTAGCAGGTTGCTGTAGCAGGGTTGGTCGCCAAATTTTTGCCAAAAAATCACAGTTACCATAATCTGAAGATTCAACAAATATATAATCTCAATAAACTACATTTTAAACCAAACAATGAAATAAATAAAAAAGGAAATTCATCTTTGCACTACACAAAAAAAATATCCACTTACTTTATTACGAATTTACACGTTTTCAGTCAAACAAAATTCCTTAACAGCATCCAAAAACTTCCTAAAATTATCTGAACAAGAATTTGTATACTGGCATTGCCACATATTTTCACAAAATAAGAGTCAAAAATACCCTCCATAACAATGCTATTGACGTTCTTACACAGCAGTGGTTCTGACTAGTTTTCATGACCATACAGGATTTCATTTCGTATTATACCATGTCACCTTAGATAATGGCTACTAAGTAAACCTTCATTTACGCACCAGTCAAGTAATATTCTTTTCCCCTTTTTTTTCCAAATCGTACAGAAACTTTGGTACAACTCTAATATATGCCCTAATTTCACCAAATGTGGCGATATGTGTTCTGCGCTGGTTTTTGGCATGATTTCGTGTTCTATGGCAACCCTGTTGACGTTGAAAAATCTTTCACTGGAGCTCGTTGGTTCGCCTCTGTGTCTGAGAAGATGGGAGGGAAAGATAAAATGGTAGTTGTTGAATTGAAGTTCGGCAAAAAGAAATATGATTGTGGCTATCCTGTTGAGGGGTAGTGGGTATTTAAAAGTGTGGAAAGAGGGTCTGGGAGATTATTTTTAGTGGCAGTGCATGATAGAAGTAGGGATTTGCGATTTTATTTATTTGTGAACTTCAATTCACATTTTGCCAAACTTCAATTCAACAACTACCAATTTATCTTTCCCTCCCATCTTCTCAGACACAGAGGCGAACCAACGAGCTCCAGCAAAAGATTTTTCAACGTCAACAGGGTTGCCATAGAACACACAATCGTGACAAAAACCAGCGCAGAACATATATCGCCACATTTGGTGAAATTAGGCGTATATTAGAGTTGTACTAAATTATAAATTTTCTGGATAGTGTGTCTGGCTGTCATGTAAATATGATAGTGATTACGTGGCGGCATATTAAAGGCGGTATGAAATTTATATTTCTGCTATTCGAAAACGCATTAATTCATGGTAAGTGCATTTTATTTTATCCTTGTTCTTATTTTGTAGAATGTTATGTTCATTGGTTCTTTAGTATGAATTTCTGTCGTTATTGTTGTTTTTTTTAAATTGTTTGAAATTTATTTTAGTTTATTTTGTTGTTTAGTGTCTAGACTGTACAATCCGTAGATGTTTTTTAAAGTTGAAACAGAATGCTGTGTACATGGTATTATTTGAAATTTATTGTTGTTATGTTATTTTATTAAAGCGAGGAGTGCGTAGATCGTAGATTCCTTCCTTGCCTAAATTGTGCAATTCGTAGAATGTTTTTTTAAGTTTTAAACAGGAGGTTGTGTACATGGTATTCTTTGAAATTTATTGTTGTTATGTTAATTTATTAAAGCGAGGTGTGCTCTATAAAGCGAGGTTCTCGCCAAAAATATTTGGCGAAAAATTTGGCGACTTGAGAGCGCATATCAGAGTAGTTCCGAAACTTTAAATTAATTTTGCTACATTCGGCCAGTTTAAAACAAGTAATATACAGTCAAAAGTCGTTAATCCGGACTCCTCGGGACTTCGGCGATTCCGGATTATCGATTTTTCCAGATTATAGATCATCAATTTAAATCTGGTAAGATGGCATGCAGAAATTACAAAATTAAAAATATGAAACCATAATTTATGAAATAAAGAACAATTATGATCTAAAGGGTATCAAAATTTACAAAAAGAAAAAGCTTAATATTTATTTGTTTACTTTATTAAACATTTCCTTCAATGTAAGTTGCTTCGTTTCATGTGATAATACTTTCTCTTTAATTCTATTAAACAGGCATAATTTCTTGTTTAGTTACAAAGTTCGGCTGTTCAAGTCCTATAATTGCTGTGTTGAGAATACCGACTAATTTGTCAATCGAAATGTTTTCGTTTTCAATAACCTCTGGGTCACTTTCTTCACTATCGGAAGCGAATTATAATGAGGAGGAACTTGATTTAAATCATATCAAAGACAGAATGAAATTGGTTTATAATTCCATACACTTAGTATGGAATTATAAACCAAATAAAATAAAAACATCTGCCCTGAAGATAAGGATAGTGTTGACAGATCAACTCCCAATCCGCTGCCTGAAATTGATAAACAGATTTCGGATCTCAAAACATACTTTCGCTTTGTAGATACAAATTACATATTAGTAAATATATATCGGAAATTCTATTTGACATAATCTTTCTAATCTATCATAATCTAATAATGACGTTTCTGCCCCTCCCCCCCCCTCTGCCGCAGAGCAGCGTGAAATTGATAAACAGATTTCGGATTTCAAAACATACTTTCGCTTTGTAGTAAATATATATCGGAAATTTTATTTGACATAATCGAACGTTCAAGCTTACTTTTATAAAATTGCTCTGACAGTCTGCAAAAAATAATAAGCCGGATCCAATTCGAAGATTAAGGAACAACGCAATCGGCAACATTAACTGAATTAGATAACTTTAGCTTAGCGTATAACTCCGTTACAATTTAAACGCGCATGCGCACAAACATATTCGCAGCCGTAAGGGTCTTACGCGCTCTCGTAAACGCCTGTGCGCATGCGTGAACACGACGCATGCGCAGAAAGTTTGTAGCTTTGAGGTCCTAATTATAGATCATTCCTGATTATGGGTGTCCGAATTAACGACTTTTGACTGTACTTCCTAACCAATACACACACACCACAAGTCCTTACGAATTTACCGCAATCATGCAACCGATTACGTCATAATAGGGTTTCCACAACATTCAACTACTCAGGCTACCATAAATGAAACAACTTGAGGATAAATGAAACAACAACTTCGCAATAATACCCACATTCTACTCTAACCCACATTTTTCATGTACTAGTGCTTCAAAATAACTTAATGACTACAGTTATGTTAAAAGTATCATTTTTAATAGTTTTAGTTCCAAAGTTTATATTTATATGTTTTTAACTATGAAAATTTTTGTAAATATTGTATGAAAGTTAGTGTCTTCATTCAATTAAATTAGACCATACTTTTCTTGTTATCATGTTTTTTTTAATACATTTGCTTTCTTTTAATTTGAAGTTCTTGAAGCTTGGGGCGGCACTTTTGAGGTTTAGCTATGGTTGCAAAAAACTCTAGGACCTGTATAGCTTTAGGCCCCTGTATAGCCTAAACATACTTTGAGATGTCAATTACTAGGTTGCTTACTCTAATCTTACTTAATTATTACTAATGCAGCTGCTGGTACATCCACCATTATCTTCAGTGACAGTGTCATTAATCGTTTTAAAAAGATGTTTAACAAATGATAGAGTCATTGCTGTATAGATCCCCCCCTAAAGAGACTAAACTAATACAAGTGACTAGTGACAATACAACTAGTCACAGGAAAATTGACTTTTTAAAATTTGAATAATTCTTTTTAAACAATTTATACGAAACCAAAAATTTTATAAAGACAATTTCTATATCAATGCATACTTCTTGATTTTTTTCTTTTTTTCTTTCTTTCTTTCTTTCTTTTTTTTTTTTTTTTTATTCTTTTTAAACAATTTATACAAAACCAAAAATTTTATAAAGACAATTTCTATATCAATGCATACTTCTTAATTTTTTTTCTTCTTTCTTTCTTTTTCTTTTTTTTTTTTTTTTTTTTTTTTTTTTTTTTTTGAAAAATTTCAATTTTAGAAACAAATAAATTAATTTCTCATAAGATAAAAAGAAAAACAGGGTTTTAAGATACATACCACAAATGGGAATGAATTAAGTTCATAAACCGAAAGACCACTGTATAATAAATGAAGTTTTAAATCACATTAAAAAAAAATCACTTACTAAAACCCTGGCTTATACCATGACTATTAGTCTGCCTTTGATGATGATGATGGGCATTTTCGGACAATGGTATATTTTGCATAGTGTGACCATTATCTTGTCCAACATCAGGAGGACAAGAACTTCTGCTGGACGGTATAGTCTCAGATGGAGACTTTCGTACAGGTCTTGATGGAGCTGGAGGAGGAGGTAAAGCACTCTTTGGAGATGCTCTATCAGTTGTAAAACTCGAATGGGGTGAAGAGGACCTTTCAATGACATGCTTTGAGTCACCAAATGATTCAAAATCTGATGAATTTAAAGTTTCAGATAAAGGATGTGAGGTATTGAGAACACTGTCGACCTGTATAGTCTGTGTTGGTACTATAGTAGCTACGGCTTCTTCAGCATTTTCATCTTCAAATCGTATCCAGGACTGAACAGGAGATTTGCCCCTCTCAGATGGAAATGGCTCAGCATCAGATACCTTATTTACTTCAGCACTTATGGTGGGATATGATGTACTTAATGAATTATTCTCCATTTTGGACTTTTTTATTTGGCATTCACCTAAAACAGAAAAATTTTACTTGTATGATCAAATTAAACAAATTTCATACACTGGATAAATTATATGGATAAAATTATAAAAGGATAAAATTAGAAGTCCATATTTACATAATAAACAGCAGTTCAACTACCAAGAATTTAAAAAAAAAACAAAAAAACTTTCTATTAAAGAATATTATCAATGAAATAATAAATTACAACATAAAATGAGTATAAGCAACAAATGGCATTTTTTTCTCTTTCCTTCTAAAATGTAACATAACAAAAAAAATTATGACAATAATAAATAATAAAAATTATGACAAAAGATAATAAAAATTCTTGAAATAAGTACTTTCACATCTTGGTCTGCATTTAATGGTACTTCTTGATAGTATAATTTAGTGCATGGCATCAAAATATGAGGCTACCTGTACGTTTTCTAATCAAGGATGTACAGACTATTATTTCATAGCAGGCCATGTGAAAAAAGAGCAATGCCCTCATCAGAATTCAAATTCTAGACATCCAGCTGCTAACCGAAGTGCTTCTAATTAAACCACAAATGTACCGAGTAAGGAGGGAGAAACTATTTTATATTCTTCTCCATTTTAAGAGTAACGGAAGAGCAGGGAATCCGATCACTAAATTCTAGTGCTAAAGAATTATCATTCACTACATTTTATTTTGAGCATCACTTGTTGAATCATTAGTCATTAATCAGAACCAGGAAAGATGAAGAATCAATGATGCCCTTGCCATGATATGAGCTTCAAACCACTCCACTGCTGGCTGGATGTGCTTCCAATTGCATCACGAAAGCACATGATAAGGAGTGAGAAAATATCTTACATTCTCCCCAATTAAAGGGCAACTGGGAAGGAAGAAACCCAATCACCATAACTTCGTTGTGAATAATTAACATCCATCACCTTTTAGTTCAAGCACCATTGTACAGCATTCAGAATTTTTGGAGTTTGAAACATAAGAATATCAACCATGCTAATGTTAGCTGGACATGCTTCCCAATTACATCACAAATAAAGAAGAAAATACCTTATAAGGAAAGACAGAATGTTAAATCTCTTTAATATTTCTAAAATCTAAACAAAAGTCATTTAATTTAATTATTAGATAAATATACAGTAAATTTCCTGTTAATTTTATCTTCTGTGGAAGTGATTGCCTTAGAGTAATGATATTTAATATTCACCGCCCAGACGGAATACTTAGTGACCCTGACTTCAAACCCTGGAGAAGACATGGATGTTAATTGTCTGTCCCTTCACAGGTCACCTTGATTTTGACGAAATTAGTTGTACTCCCTTGAAGTTGGGGAGGATCGGATTTCCAAAAACAACCATTTTATGGGAGGAGACCCGGGGTTCGATCTGGACCTTCTGAGAGTATAGCTATGGGACAGTAATGCGTACCACAGAGCCTCTCTTGCTCCTATCCGACATAGGCTTTCTCATAGCTCCTGCTGGTAACCAGGTTTGCCTAGGCTGACTATGTTCGGATACCATACCTGAAGGTTGATTGGGAATGACTATCCAATGCTAGACAGCCTTGACCTCTGGGGTAAATAATCAGTCTTCACAGGACTAGAACCATCATTATTCAGTGGTAGATTCAAACTCGGCAGGGACCCTACTGGTACTGTTCTCTCTGCTCCTTAGTTGCAAGGGACCTTACACTGTCAGATATTGCAGGTTGTCCATGGAGGATGGCTACCCCTTGGACAGGCTTGGTCAACACAACATTTTATGCCCTAACTTGTGATTTTTAAGTGTTGTGATTTATATTTCCCAAACTTTGTGACATTTTAAGTCTTGCTGGGTTAACCAAGAGGGGTGGTGTCTCCTCAGATGGCTTGGGGAGGCTGGGGTGTTTTTAACCGTGTAAGGCGGCCCCGAGTCAGCCAGCTCTGGGAACCCCTTCCTCCGGTGAAATGTCTCTTCACAGGAGGCAATGATGGCCCACCTATTAGGTCTCTCCTTAATAGTGACTCCTGCTTCTTGCCTTAGTAGTGGCCAATGCCTATAATGGCTAGTGATCAATAGCAAAAGCTCAAACATCATGCATTACAGGCTAGTTTGAAAGAGATAATAAGCATTCATAAAGCATAAAATTGTTTCCATAATCACCACAGATAAATTAATTCAAAGCTTTACCAAAGCTTTAAAAATTCCTTTTTTATGTTTTATAAAATTTGCTCAAGATTAATGACCTTTGGTACTTTCTGATTATTTGCACCCTTCCGAAGAGTCAAAAAATCATTGACAACTTTGTGAATAGGAATAAAACACTATCTTTATCACTTACAGACTTTGTCTATCTCAGTGAAGGATCCGGTGCTACCTACCTTTTTTACATTTTCCTTTTCCATACCAAGACATACACACTTTTTGGAGATAATTTTACCAATTCACAATTGAGTTGAATGATAATCCTAGTTTTTCACAGATGCATACTCTTTTACCAACAATATATAAAGAGCTGTTGCAGAGATATGGCAATCTTAAATTTAATTTCCAATCCAGAGGTTTGCTTACAGTTTTTACATTGCCTTTCCAGGTTTCATTTCTCATCAGCTAGTAAATTTCTCAGCCCTATTACCATTTATTATGAACAAAATATATATATATATATATACCCGCATATTGACAGTTAAATATAAAACATATATATTTAGGTGTATAAGTGCGGTATGCACATGCATTTGTTGCCTATTATCATACATATACTTGAAAACAAATCCAAAAAGTAGTATTTTTTCCAAATGTTGAAACCAGGACAAAAGATAACCAGAAAATAACTATTTATCTCTCCACACAGATGTTAACGGTAATTGTTCCTGTATACAAACATAGCAATGTTAATTAATAAGAAAATATTTATGTTTATAATACTACTTCTATAAATATCTACTCATGAAGAGATATCTAATTTTTTTTTTTTTTTTTTTTTTTTTTTTTTTGCCGCCTACTGACATCAATTTCAGATTAGACTTCAAATCAATAGTGATGGCACCATATATCAAATATCACTCACATATAGAAACAAAATGAAAAGAATCAATCATTTTATCAGTTATTTAAATGATCAGAGCGCAACTAAAATTCAACACTATGTAACAGATATTCTTTCTGCTTTTGATATTATATACATGATTGTTGTAACATTTAAAAATAAACTGTGCCATTTTTGACACATAACACAAATAGCAAATGAAAAATGCACATTAAAAAAAAATATAATATTCTTCCACAAAATAATGGTCAATTACAGTAACAAAGAAATGTTCTTAATCAAATTTTTTTTTCATACTAAAAACTGAAATAGTTCCAGAAATACAAGTTTTAATTGAAAACAATCTCCACATACTTATGTTTAAAGGGCAAATTTGTTATAAAACAAATTACTAATAATTAATCCCTAAAAAATGGCATTAAATCTTTATTTTAGGATTACCTAAAACTACTTTTTGAAATTACAACAGGTATAATGTAAATACTGGATGACCATTCCTTCTACAAATCTATAGTTTTCCTAACTTAGTTTTTTACTTTCAATTTGAATGAGATATTATGCAGACATCCCTGCTAAATAAAATTCATTATACATTCGATAAATAATCTGAATATAAATTTTCAGAGGAGTTATTAAATTTCGATTTTAATGTTTGCTCATTTTTCTCGATTTATTAAACATACAATTTACATGCAAGTTGAAAATCTTGCAGCAATTAAGATGATTTCGACACAATACAATACGTAAATACTTTATGCCCGACATGTACTTAATTCGTTACTCCTCCAGTGATTATGATTGATAAAAATTAAGTATCTTAATAAAAGGACAACCTTCGGTCTGCATTATATTGGAACGTTACTGTTTATTTTCAAACGTTAATAGAAACTAACACCAAGATCGCTTTAAATGACAAATACTAAATATTTTAAATATATCGTAAGCATTCTTTCATTACTATGTTTAAGATTCATAAAAATTGGATTTTAAATGACACGATGCAATCTGAGTAACTACTAAGAGCAGCATAAATGATCCAGGCACAAAACATTGCAAACTTACGACAACAGATAATTAAACATCTTGATTAATTATCGCAATACTAAAATTTCAAGAAAAAAAGTGCTTAAATAATAACCTGCTTTTAATTATGTCACACTAACAACAGTTGGTAAATTCAACAGCAAACACCGTCGGCGGGTGCGGTCATACTTACGGTTTCATTATCCAAATTTAGTGGCCATTAATTCAGCCAACGCAGCTATGTGTAAACAGATGGTATATGGGATGACGATATGTGTTTGTTACTCAAAAGCACTTCGAAATTATGATTTTTAGCAAAAACTTTTTATAAACATTACTAGAATATTAGAAATAATAATAAAATTAATAAAATCTATTCCAAATGGAGAACTTAAACTGTTCATAAAAGATATTTTAAGAACAATTATTTACCACTTGTAAAAATAGTAGATATAATAGTTCAATATTCTTTTCTTGAAAACTAATACTTAACTTGATAATTAATACTTAAGTTGATGATATTTAGGGGTACAGGATATACATGATCTCCTTTCACCATTCGTGTACATTCTTTATCCTCATCTACTACACAAAGGGTCTAGAAAACCGTGGAGACCAACCGGTCGTTTTATGCGACCTATTCATTAAAGGGTGAGTTTCGTACCACCATCTCCACAATTAGAGAAGTCGACGTTTCTGAAATTTTTCCGCCGACTGTGTAGCTACTGTTTAAATTTTTTGGCGTTAGTTTAAGCTAAATTCAAAATGGCGTGACGGGTACATGCTACGCCGTGCGGATATGTCTTAAGAACTCAAGTGCTTCGTGATAGAAGCAACCCATTCAATACTGATGATTCCACATTTATCGTGTCATTTCAGTTTTTAAAGTTCTTTATTATGGACAGTCTTGACCAGAACATCAACAACAAAGACTGCTTCAGTTCCGACAGATCTTCAACTTCTATTCATGAGATGGCGCCACGTGTAAAATCCAGTTCTTAATCGGAGCAGCAAAGCGACATCTTTACACTCATCTCAGACTTACACTCAGACACACAACTGTACGCGAATGAACATGAACTGTGTTTCCGAGTGTTGATCTCTGCAATGTAATTTAAATTGTAATTTAGTATTTAATATATTGTTTAGGAGATTGTCTAGACTCTTATTTTCTTAATTTTCTTTAAGCACCACGATCAGTGGACCTTTTGACTGGAAGCACCCTACACCTGGATTTTCAAACCCTAAGCCACGTGCATCCAAGGCATTCTGAAGAACTGACTAAAAATAACAACGAATATGGACATAACATTAAACGTATGCTACAACGTACCCCTTCAATTATTTCTAGAATGTATTGATATATATATTGCTTGTGTTTTTTCAAAGTCGTGCATATCATCGCAAGGAGCTTCAGCAAATCATCAATGTGATCTGTTCCGTTCCGCTGACTTCGCCGTCGTGCAATAATTCTTTGATCATTCAACTTTTGTGACAAATTTGCTACAACAGTGATTTTCGCTAAATGTGCTACATCAGTAACTTTTGTGCAACGTGCTACGGCAAAATTCTTCCCGCAGTGTTCGAAAGTAGTGAATTTTTTTCCCATGTGCTACAGGAGTGATTTCATTTTTCCTTCGAAAGTGCCTTTCAGTGGGAAGCGGTGATTTTGTGCGTGCGCAATACAAAATTAACGCATCATTTTTTTTCTCAAATAAGGGTTTCTTTTCAAATGCATTTCGGTAAAATATTATTTGTGTGTGTAATTGCTGACCCTGTCTTATTTGTGTGTGTATCGTTACGTAAATTTTTTCTCCATGGTTAAATATTTATTGTTATCATGGTAAAATATCAATAGTGTATCCTCATGCTACAATATTTGTGCTGATAAGTGTTTATTAATTAAAGTGAAAATTATCTATCAGTATGCCCGACGATATTCCACCAGAGCCACAAATCACACGCGTTGCGGTGAAGCCACCGCCTTTCTGGAAAAATAATCCTTCATTGTGGTTCGCTCAGATCGAAGCACAATTTTCTATCGCTCGCATTAGTGAGGATTCTACAAAATTCAACCATGTAGTTGCAGCAATTGAGTCTGATATTCTGAATTCAGTGCATGACTTAATTCTCAAACCACCTGATTGTGATAAATACTCCAAACTGAAACAGCGGCTCATTGAAATCTATTCAGAAAGTGAATCTTCAAAAATACGTACTTTACTACAAGGACTTGAACTTGGAGATCAGCGACCTTCATACTTGCTGTCACGAATGCGTGATCTGGCAGGAAGCCATTTTAGTGACGACTTGTTGAAGTCACTATGGCTTTCGCGTCTCCCTAATAACATACAAATAATTCTTGCTGCTTCCAATGAAGATCTAACCCGTTTAGCAGCAATGGCTGACAAAATTAATGAACTTGTTACTCCAGCTTATGTCAGTGCTGCTAATGCTGCACCTTCCAGTTCATCCCTCGAACAACAAGTGGCTGAATTGACCAAAAAAGTATCTGAACTCTCTACAAGTCTTCATGCTTCACGGAGATACAATCGATCAAATCAGGGCCCACGTAATAAATTTCGTGCCCGAAGCAGGAGTCAATCTCGTCATAATACTCGAACGCAGTACAAAGAACCCACAAGTGGCATATGTTTTTATCATATGAATTTTGGCTCGCAAGTGTGCCCCTCCATGCACTTTTGAACAAGCGGGAAACTAAATGGGCGGTCTTCTGCTGGCCAACAGAATGTCCGCCACATCGACAGAATAGTACTGGCTGATCGTTCAACTCAGTTATGTTTTCTAGTAGATACTGGAGCTGACATATCAGTGCTCCCGAGAACTAAAACAAATGCTCACCAACTTAATAAACTTGTACTGTATGCAGCCAATGGTACCCCAAATTGCAACCTACGGCACCAAACTATTGACACTTGATTTAAACTTGCGCCGGACTTTCAACTGGCCTTTTATTATTGCGGATGTAACTCAAGCAATTATTGGTGTCGACTTCTTGACACATTTCCACCTTCTAGTGGATGTCAAGAATAATTGCTTAATTGATGCTACAACTCAGCTGACATCACAGGGCCAAGCTTCTCACATATCGAACGTACCTACCAACATAAGTGTTTTATCGGGCAGCACACGGTTTCATCATCGGTTATTAGCAGAATTCCCTGACATTTTAAACCCATCCAAATCAGGGCAGCATACTCATCAGCCAGAAGTGTATCATCACATTGAAACACATGGCCCACCTGTATTTTCCAAGCCTCGTCGTCTTTCTCCAGAGATGCTAAAAGCTGCTCGCAAAGAATTTGAATTCATGCTAGCACAGGGAACCATTCGCCCATCTAAAAGTCCATGGGCCAGTCCACTTCACATGGTTAAAAAGTCTAATGGTGACTGGCGGCCTTGTGGAGATTATCGTCGACTTAATGCCGTCACAGTCCCTGACAGATATCCAGTCCCACATATCCAAGACTGTACCCATCTTTTTCATGGAACAAACATATTTTCTACCCTCGATCTTGCCAGAGCATATCATCAGATCCCAGTGCATGCTGAAGATGTGCCTAAGACCGCAGTGACTACACCATTTGGTCTCTTTGAGTACTTATATATGCCATTTGGCCTTCGCAATGCTGGCCAAACATTTCAGCGTTTCATACACCAAGTACTGTCTGGCCTCGATTTCTGCATCCCATATTTTGATGATATCCTGGTTGCATCTACAGATGCGGAAGAACATTTTCAACATCTGCGTCAGATTTTTCACTCGCCTTAAAGATCATGGATTAAAACTAAATCCATCCAAATGTGTACTTGGTCAACCCTCAGTTTCCTTTCTTGGATGTCTTATCACCCAGAATGGAGTCAAACCTTTACCGGAAAGAGTCAAAGCAATTAACGACCTACCTCACCAGCCCAAAACCATCTCTGAACTGAAGCGTTTTCTAGCAATGTTAAATTTCTACCGACGCTTTCTGCCAAATGCCGCAAAAACACAAGCCTGCCTACATGAGTTTCTGAAGAATAGCAAAAAAAAAAAACGATCAACGAGCTGTCCCTTGGACTGAATCTGCATCTGCAGCATTCGTGCAATGCAAACACGATCTGGCAAATGCAGCCACACTTTCTTATCACTCACCTAGTGATCAGCTCTCTATAATGGTAGATGCATCTGACACGGCCATAGGAGCAGTGCTTCAAGCCCATACCACTAAAGGACTTTCCCCAATGGCATTCTTCTCCAGAAAAACTTACTACTGCAGAAAGGAAATACAGCACATATGACAGGGAGCTACTTGCTGTGTACTGTGCTGTTAAATACTTCCGGCACAACTTGGAAGGACACGACTTCATCATTTTCACCGATCATCGACCATTAACCTTCGCTTTTAGAAAAAACTCTGACTCATGTTCTCCTCGTCAGCTTCGACATCTGGATTTCATCGCCCAGTTTAGTACAGATATCAGATATGTCTCTGGTACTGATAATTGTGTCGCTGATGCCTTGTCTCGGGTAAACAATATCAACCTCACTACCCCAGATTTCTCTGAAATTGCAAAAGCTCAATTGCATGATGAGGAACTCAAGAACCTAATCTCAAATCCACAAACCTCCCTTCAGTTACAACCGCTGCACATTGATCCAACGCTTAAAATTTACTGTGACATAGAGAACAATAGAATACGTCCCTATATTCCTGTCAATTTTAGACGTGAAGTGTTTAATGCCTTGCACAATTTGGCACATCCTGGAATCCGTGCCACCAAAAAGCTGATCGCAGACAGATTTGTCTGGCCAGCAATGAATCAAGACATCACAGAATGGACTCGTTCATGTATTAGATGTCAACGGTGTAAAGTATCCCGTCACACTCACAGCCCCATTCAACAATTTAACCTTCCAGCAAGACGCTTTGATCATGTGCACTTAGACTTGGTTGGCCCATTGCCTCCTTCAAATGGTTACACTTACCTCCTCACTTGTATTGATCGGTACACAAGATGGCCTGAAGCCATTCCTATTGAAAATATATCCGCTGAAACTGTAGCTCGAGCATTCATCTCCCAGTGGCTTTCAAGATTTGGCATGCCTACCACCATCACTACTGACCAAGGCCGACAATTTCAATGTCACTTGTTCGCATCCCTCACCTCTCTTCTTGGCATTCGCCATATTCGCACAACACCATACCATCCATCTGGAAATGG